AGCCTCCTCCAGCACCAGGAACGAAATCCGTTCAGCATGGAAGTTTCCGACGCGAAGAGTGACTTCACGGGAGCGATAGCGCACCAACCCCTTGCTCAGCGGTTTTCCTTGTATATTGGAGATTTGATAGATGGTGGAATTATGGTGTCGAGGGAGCTTGATTTGATTGAGACTGATGGAGGAGATTAAATTTCCTGAAGCTCCCGAATCCACGAAGACCTTGACTGGAAAAGAGTGGTTCATGTACATTAGAAGGGCATCAATGTGAGGCAGACTTGAGATATCAGGATGAATATGGACCGTACTCACTGCTGAGCATGTGGGACGAATAGGGCAGGAGGGCAGAAGGTGCTCCTGGGACCCACAGTACAGACAGAGCCCTTGGGTGATTCGGCGAGCCCGTTCCGTGGTTGATAGACGAAAACGGTTAGTTTGCATCGGCTCGGGTGCTGGAGGAGCTTTACTCGGTGAGGCGGCAGCAGAGGAGGAATCCTCAATGTGACAAGCGGTTAGATGTTGGGAGATGTGCAGCGCTTTTTGCAGAAAGCTCTCTAGTCCTACGGTGTCTTCATAGATGAACATTTGCTGTCTGATTGAAGAGTTTAGACCACGTCGGAGTGCTGATAGAAGGGCTGTTTCGTTCCAACTGCTGCTTGCCGCGAGGCTACGGAATCGAACTTTCGCTTGCCGTAGTCGAAAGAGCTCATCGTGCACGGAGACCGCCGAGGTAGTTTTGGCAAACACCTCGCGGAAATGATCCACGAAGGCATCATAGGAGCGCACTAAGGGACTGCGCGAATTCCAGAGAGCTTCGGCCCATTGCAGCGCCCTTCCAGACAGTAGAGAACTGATGAATGCGATCTTCGCACGATCATTCACAAACTGAAGGGGTTGTAAATCAAAGTATAGTGAACACTGGAGTAGAAAACCGCTGCAGGTGGCCGCCTCACCGGAGTAGGTCGCGGGTTTAGCCATGGGACATGCAGAGGCAGATGGCATGACGGGAGGAGGCTGAAGTGATACGTGGAGTGCTTGAACCAGTTTGGTGAAGGGATCTGGGGTGAGTGGTCTCTGTGCCTCCATAGCAAGCTTCAATCGGTTAATTTTCACTTCTGTTTTGATGGACTGGTCTTCTGTCATGGCTGGATAGAGAGGCATACACAGGAAGAAAGTTTCAGAGCCTCTTTATTTACACAAACTGAAGGAGAGCTTCAAACGGTAAGTCTTAAAACTGAAACATAACTTTCGCTTTTGAAACTGAAGTGTAACAGTCCTTATCTTAATTCTCTTTAGGAAGATCCAGCATGTAGAGCGGCATGAGGTTAGGTATGAACTCTGACCCATTACAGGTCCGATACTCTGAAAGAATACAACATTGCAGTGCTTTAAATGGCAGAAACAACTATAAGAAAGCGATGTACAATAGTATCTACTTGGTACTCAAAATATAGTACTACCATGTCCAAAATCATGGTATTAGCATATACAAAAAAGGTACTTTATGTACTTTTATCAGTGACCTAATGTATATTTTGAACACCCACATTTGCTTCCTTATAAATTATATTTTATAACCCATGCAGCTTTGGTAGAATAGGTGAGATGTAATGCGGAACCCACCACAGTTTTGCTCATCACTGTTGTCTCCACAGGCATCCCAGTGATCACAGTCAAAGGGCATCAGGATGCAGTATCCACTGGCACATTTAAACTGATGTGACTGACAGCACCTTGCTGTTTGAGGGATGAAAGACAAAGGATATGAAAGGAAATGACCATGACGTACATGGTCAAATGTTAAACATTCATCTGAACATGCTTTACTGGTGTCTGATTGATTACTATACTCTCACTCACTGCAATTGGATTCATCTGATCCATCTCAACAATCTAGTATCCCATCGCAGTGCTGAGTGTTGTTGTAGCAAGCGCCGTTAGCACAAATCTTCTCTGTGCAGGCTGGGTAATCTGGATTCAACAAGTAATTGGTAATTTGACTGGTAATTTGTTGCGTTTTATTAGAATTCCAAAACCTGATGATGATGACAAAATCTGACAGTTCCCGTCATTTTGGTAATATGTGTATTTGGTGTATTGGGCAATTAAAAATGGTCATATGCTTTTTGTCTCGTAAAGATAACATTGCTAAATACCTTTGTGATATTCATTAAAGGCCTGTTTGCAATTAATTTTAGTTTTTGAAGTTGAAATTCTGGTTCAAATAATATAATTAACAACTATAAATAATATGTTACTGTAGATGTGTTATATCTCTTATATTCTAACAAATAATAATAAATAATATAATTATGTATTCAAATGATATTTAGAATTTTCTGAATGTCTGACAGATTTTTTTTATTACTATATATTGACCAATAAGAGCCTGTACTGGTACTGAGGAATAATAAACTCTATATCTCTCTTCATTGTAGTACTGCCAACATATTTGTTTCAGTGTTTTATAGGCCTAGGCTGTACTGTTTCAATGACAGAGGTGCTAAAATAAGCATACACGTTATAGTAAGCATACACAAAACAGTAGCGGATATTTCCATTTTTATTCAATTAAGGTTTTAATATTAGGACTGTAATGAATTAGCCACAAAATTAAATTAAATAAATAAATACAATACAATGCAATAATGAAAAATTTTAATTGATCTTTTGAATTTTCTTAATTTCAGACAAAAACATTTAATTACTATATACTGATAAATAGAAGCCTGTATTGTTACTAAGGGGCAGTCGTGGCCTAATGGTTAGAGAGTCTGACTTGTAACCCAAAGGTTGTGGATACCTTTGTTAAGGGTCAATCCAACAAACCATTGTTCACCTACTGTAGAGATACTCACGACAGTTCTGCTCATCAGAGTCATCCGTGCAGTCCTTTGTCCCATCACACCTCCAGTCTTGATTTATGCATTGACCATTACTACTCTGGAACTGACCACTGGTGCACTGACCTGCTCAGAGAATTATGGGTTTTGTCTGACCAACCTCAGGTAATCTAATTTGACAAAACATCCCTAATAGTTGCACTAATAACACATGGTACAAATGGAAATTTGACAGATATGTTATGTGTGCATATTGTTGGTGGTTTGAGAAGTGGGTATCACTGCTCAGTTACCAGAGGAACCAGTTCATTAGAAATTAGCAAAAGTTTGTTCAGTCTAGAAAAAAACATCAGACAGTAATCTGAAGGTTGATGTAAAAGTTAATTTGAATGACTCTGAGGACTTCAGTTTATTAGGTAATTTAGGAGAAAGAAATCTCAGTTTTGCAAGGAATAACTTATCAATGAGAAACTCTGTGTACGGGGTTCAGGAGCTACTGTGTAGAATATCTGAGCTCTACCTCATGTGATACCTCATAAAATTTGCAATATTAAACTCACTTTTGCAGAGTAACAAACTAAAGTTGCACATTTTTCAGTAGCCTGCGGTAATGTAGCTTTTCCATAACAAGCTACTTTATCCTACAAGAAGCAAATGCTATATAGCTGCTTTTAATGTGGTTGAAATAAACACTTACCTAAACTGTCTCTCATTTGTAGTGGTAACTGAGGTATCTGGCTGATTCTAGTGAATCAGTGTTTTGTTGTATTTTGTGTAAATTTACTTGTTCAAGTTTTATACTGTCACCCTAATTGCTTATTTATTCAAAACACCTCATTGTTTTTGTGCCAACAAAGCAAAACTTTGATTTATAAATTATATAATTTAATAGTTATATAATATATATATATATATATATATATATATATATATATATATATATATATATATATGCTGTATATGTTAAATATAACACA